CCTTTCTTTCCCAGCTATTGTCCAAAGTAACCTTAGCTTTGCCATCCGCCACTTTGTTTGTTGCTTGGAGGCTTTGTTCTCGGAACAAATTGTATAGATTCGCTAAAAGAATTCGTAAAACGAACAACCGCTGCCCACAGTTGGTCTGTTGAGCTCGGATCGGCTGCCAGGGTTTCGAAAATATTTTTTGTGTTAAATAATATGTGATAATATGCGCTCTATAAAAAGCGTTTGGACGAGTGTGTTTGAAGTAAAATGTCTAATATATATACATAATTAAATATAATACTTACTCTTGTAAACACTCACAAAATAAGCTTATTACAAGTTACTGTTTTAGACTATGAACTGTCGAAAACTTAAGAGACGGTCTTCTATTAGGTATGTCTTTAGAGCTGTGCTGGCCAACTTAAAGCCGAGCACGACTAGTTGATGACCTTTTTTTCCCTATGCATATGTAAATAAGAGGCCGATACAATTTACAAAGGCTCGGCACATGTACTTATGAAGTTGCCATCCTTGACATACACAGACACTGAATAAAAGTTCTCCCTGTTTTGGAGTTATCTACCTAAGACCCTCAAATAGCGACCATAACGAGTACTACTTTAATACATTCATACATACGTACATATATTGAAGGATTCAATCTTTATTCAGCTTTCAAAACTTCTATATCTTATTTTAGAACAAGCTGACACCCAAATAGTTGGACAAGGTAATACTGTCTCAAGTCTGGCCAATGTCAATCCGCAAGTGAATGCTGGTATTGGTCTACTTAGTTCCGTGACACAAACGGTTTCTGGTGCAACTGGTGGAGCTGCTGGTGGACAAACAGGAAGTGATTATAACGGTAAGATTCTTAACCTGACCGTATGAATACAAGGGGATAATGGGGTGGAGTTAGCGTTAGCGGAGATAAGATAGAAACATTTTCGATCGCACGTCCTAGCTTATCCTGAGGAGCTCTCAGTCATTGAAGTTAGTTGAAGTGGTCGGATCATGGCACTTGGCAAACTAAATAATGATCTAGTTTAAGTTTTCATGGTATTCCCTGGACAACCTCTGTCCTTATCAAGTTAAAATGAGAATATTTGCTTTCCACGATTATGGCTTCGAACTCTTGAATTCCTATATTGGATTCAGCGCTGTACTTCCATGCAAGTTTCTTTTATATTTACCCTATACCCTCTTTTTTAATATAGAAAATCCGCAAGCCAGCGCGGGAACTCCAACTGCACGTGGATCCAGCTCAAGTGCGTCTGGAAATAGTATTGGCGGCCAACAAAGACGTAAGTGAAATAAAAAGCTTGATAAAATTTCAAATTTTTTACTGATTTACACACCAACGTGCAGAAAATACTGGTGCCAATATTGTTGGTGATGGCAACACGGTTTCGAATCTGGCCAATGTCAGCCCTCAAGTCAATGCAGGCGTCAATCTTCTCAGCTCAGTAACTCAAACGCTTTCCGGCGCAACAGGTGGTAGTGGAGGACTACTGGGAGGTGTACTTAGTGATGTAGGTGGCGCTGCTAATAATATTGGCGGCAGACAAACGAGTAAGTATGCATTCTTTGCAAGGAACTTCCGTTTTAAATAATCGCGTTTTTTAATTCTAACTAAATTTTATTTTAATTTTTGTTAGTGGGTACAGGTTCCAATATACAAGGAAACCGCAATCAAGTATTCAGTTTAT